GCAGTCCCTTAGCATTCTCCTGTGATGCTGCTTTTCCCCAAACATGTAGGGAAGGGGAAACACAATAGAATAAACACTGTTGTCCATGCGAGTGTTTTACTTGGGACAAGCCACTGCCTCCTGAAGCTGTCCCAGCAGAACTGTTCTCGACCCCGCTCTGCTGCAGCCGACAGCGGAAGTGGTGCTGATCCCCATCTCAAGATGCTGCCATCTCAGGCTCATCTCACAGTGTGGCCCCAGCCATGACGGCTGCTCTCGGTCCTGCTTTTCCCATGTTTCGTGCACATTTTAGGAATAACTTCGCAAGAGAATCTAGTTGCAATAATTTTATATTCTTATTGCTTTTTTGTCCATTAAGTTAACGAGCTTTTCGTTATTGTGCCTGCTTTGTGGTGTAGGCCAGCAGGTATCTCATTTTTGAGAAGATATTTTTAGGTGGGAGGTACTGGCAGGAGATGATGGGGTCTGGCTTTGCTCTGCCAAAAGGTTTTCTGGGAACTGTGCACTACAGAAGTGGGGCTTTGGGGTGGGGGGCAGCATCCCAGCAGTGTGGCTGGGGGACACCGGAGCAGAGGGAAAACAAAGGAACGTGGTGGCCCAAAATGCCAAGGAGCTCTGTGTGCTGTTAACAGTGCTGTCATTCCTGTATTTCTAGCAATGAGTGCCTTGGCCATTGCAGAAGTGCATCCTGGGAGAGACATGGCTTGTAATTTATAATGCAGAGCTTGTCATTGCGCTGGAATTTCCGCCTTGTGGTAGCCAGTGCTTTCAGCTTGTTTGTGTGACTGTGTGATAGATATCTGCATGGAGAAACACAACTTGGGTGTAGTTTCACTGAGGTTCATACGTAAAAGCACACAAGGATGGAGTCGGCGCTATTTAAGTCTTCTGGTGATATTGGAGGTTTGAGCATAACTAAAGCAGAGTTAGTTTCTATACTATGCCTAATTTGTTATTGTAGTTTCCAGTAAACAAGCAGAACCTAGGAAAAGAGGCCATCAAAGATGCTAGTCTCAGTACTTTGTGCTGCAGTAGCTGGTGAATTATTGATACTAATATTTCATGTCGTGTTTGATTTACTTGATTACATCTGTGTGATTAAAAAGCACGGTGTAGTCAGGGTATGTTTGCGTAGGGTGGAGAATTGCTGAACAAGAACTTATTTCTGTGAGACAGCAGGCCCTTCAGGTGAACACAAAGTTTTGGTGTGCTGCTAATTCAGTGGAACTTGGAAATAATCCTGTTGGCCTCCAACCCTGGACTTAGGAGACTTTTCACACCAAACGGTGGTATTGGAGATCATTCTCAGAAGAGTCTGGATAAATGTCTTGCTTCCTATTTGAACAAATGGAACAAGTGAGATGTTTCCCACTCTTTTGATCATATTCCCCACCAGGATGCTGCCGTACAGGTGCTCCTTGACTGTCTCTGAACTGCCATCAGCCTCCGTAGCCCTTAGCAGTTACTGTTGAGCCACTGTAGTGGCATTGTGCATTTGGAAAACTTTAACTATGAAAGGTGCTTAAGCATTGTGCCATTTTTTTTCAACCATACTGAAGTTGAAGTTAGACGTTCATTTTCATTTCTCACATTGTCATAGATCCATTATGAGGAGGTGCATGAACCCTGGTTGCCCTTGTCATTAAAGAGGCCTGGATGAAGATGTCAGCTGATGGAATACGTTGGCTTTGGCAGCAGAGATGGCTTAAGAAATGCTGCTCTTGGCTCTGTGTCCAAAACTTGGGTCCCAACTGGCTGTCTCCAGTCTATGAAAATACCTTTGTGGGACAAAAGGTTATTTCTAGTGAAGCTCAAGTTCATAACTTTTTCACATGGCTACACTAACAGTTTCTTAAAATAATGACAGGGCTGGTATAACTCGGGAGCAAGCTAAAGGCAGAGGGAGCAGATCGTGAACTGCTGAAGGGAGCCCAGCCCCGAGTTGACCTCAGTGCCAAAGCAGCTGTGGTTTGTTCCCTCTGAAAGGAGGGTTGATACCTCCTGAAGACACAGAGCTTCCACCTTGCTGAGATAAGATGTGTTATGCTGTGTTTAGAGGCAGCCAAAGCATTGATCATCCTGCTGTGCACCACACAAATGATAGAATAAAGTGATAGAATCATTATGGTTGGAAAAGACCTTGAAGATCGAGTCCAGCTACAAGCCCTTCAACACCACGCCTGTTAAGCCACTTCCTAAGTGCCTCATCTACGCATTCTTAGTAGGAAAGAGTAGGAAGAGACCTGCCAGAGAGGAGGTGGTGGTGGTCTAACCGTGTAAAAGTGGAAGAGGATGGTGTAACCAGTGAGGAACTGAGACACAGAGAGGAAGCTTGGCCAGTCCTACCTGCAGTGGCAGTTACTTGTCCTCATTCCACAGCAGGGAGAGAGATGGAAGTCAGAGCTCTGAGTTGTCTTGCTCAAGTGCTTCCTTTCCTTCCCTGGGTCTTCCTCAGTGTCTGGTCAGTGGATTTGAGGTGCCAACATCTTTCCATCTGTTATACATAGACTTTAATGGCAGGTTTAATATGAATATATGGCCCTTTGTCCACGGTCAGAGACAGAAGTAAATGTGAAATAAGCCTATTGCGTGGAAATACAGCATGGACTAGACATGGTGAATAAAGGAAGAATTTTGTACTAGAGATGTGCTAGGGCTTGAGAGATGCAACATTTACAACACTTAGGGGAAGCTGCAGAGCTGCTCCCAGCTTCTGGTGTGCCCAACCTGTAGGCAGAGCACAGCCCTGTGGTGCCTTGGAGAAGGTCTTTCATCTACTAGGTTGGTCCTTGCCTTATACTGGGCTGCTCCGGTCTGAAATCACTTCTTGCCTCAGTTTAAACATTAGAAAAAAGCTGAATAGAATTTTGCTTTGCTCAGTGGGATTTAATCCCAAACATTTGGGGGTTATGTGAGATGTTCCAGAATGTGTTTCCAAGCTTTTATTCTGTCATGCACTGGGGGATCTTTTCCAAATTCCTTTCCAGGAACATGTAAAGTAGTCACAGGAGAGACTCCACCCTGCAGCTCTAGAGCCTGGAGTGTGCTGGGGCCCTAGGAGAGCTATGGAAATCTCCACCCAGTGCACAAATGTTCCAGTTTGCCTGGAAAACTGCAATCTAATTCGGAGATCCCGGCTGACCTGTGGCAGTGTTTGGTGTGGCTGTTATCCTGGCAGCTTGGCGAATTAAATCCTATATATAACAAAGCTTGTGCTTGCAGCTCTTTGCTTTATTTGCTGCTTGTATCTATTGGACTATGCTGGTCTCTGCAGATAACCTGGTGTGGCAAATTCTTCACATAGCTTTGGACATGATGTGGATTTGAAGACAATTAATAATCATGCATATCATTCATTTTATAAGCGGATGAGGTGCTTCTCACTTGTGCCATTTCCTCTTGGAAGAGCAGAAGGAAACAAGCTCTCCCCGGGATCTGTGTTGCCAGGGTGCAGTTGATTGTGAGACAGAAGTATCTTTTTTAGTATATATAGTAGTAGCAGGTCATGCATGTAGGAATTAAAGCCTTGTTTACCATGGGATGGTGAACTCCTACAAGGTGTTAACACACTTTCTACTGAAATGGTTATAAACTCCATGAAATGTGAAAGCTGGGCACAATATAAAATGCTCAACTTTAAGACAGCACAGCTTACAACCAAGACAGGCTGCAGCCCACAGACTGTTTTTTGAATAACTGTTAACACTTTGGAAATGGCCTCAATCCAGCTTTCCCA